GATTGGCCGAATACCTCAAGCGTGTGCCGGAAATGTTACGCCCCTCACATACTGTTGATGCCGTGTCCTGGCCCGAGCAATGAGACATAAATATTAAAACCCATTACAAACGAGGCATTTGTTGCATCGAGTGGGGACATCATTACTGATTATAATGACTTATACTGTCTTTTTACACGTTGCGTTGCATTGCATTGCGCCGCGTAAACAAACAATTCTGTCTGCATTTGTGATCAGAGAAATGACAAACAACAAGTGCTACTCTACTGCCCAAAACTCGCATTTGAATCATCAGTGGCAAATCATTTAAATGAAAACGTACTTACATGAGTCAGAACTGCCGGCATTTTAGTCTAACGTTACTCTCCCAGGATCAGTAAACAGTCCTCCATAAAATGTGCTGCACACATCTGGATATTTGGGTTAAACTGTTCTGGAACAGTGTTGTAAATACCACTGATTTGTAGTCGTGTCCTCTTTTGGAAGACCAAACAAAGTAGTTTCGCTTTCACAATGAAAAACACAGCGGCCTAGCGTGAGGGGAAGCCCCGGCTTAGCGTGCGCTGAGGCCGGGATAGAGTGAGCTGAGGCCAGGCTAGAGTGAGCTGAGGTCGGCGGGGTCAAGATCCGACGAATGAGCGGCAACCACATGTGACGGACCCCGGGCTGGATTCCGCTTTGTCCACGGTGAAAGTTGATGTATTTCCTCAGCGAACAGCACAGATCAGCTTTAGGCATTACGAAGCGGATATCGTCCTCTTTTGGAAGACCAAACAAAGTAGTTTCGCTTTCACAACGAAGCACACACAGTCTTCACGACATGGCTGCAGCGGCAACAATACTACAGTGAGACTAAAAGTTACGCCTTCTTTCTTAGCGTGAACATTTGGGCGGCGTTATGCAAATCTTCCCACATAGTGAGGTAGATATGTGGGGGCGTGTTAGAATGAGCCGTTTTAGGGGGGTGTGGCTGACTCTGAACTTTTATAAAGAATATCTCTTTGGATTTGAAACTTTAGTCTTTACAACTTTACAGATCTTCTTTATGCACCAAGAGCTTGTAACACTCCAAAGAAAAAGGAAAAATTTTAATCGCATCATACTATTTAACTAGTGACACGGACCGTGTCCATAGTGTCATTGTGTCACCTGCCAATGACGTCATAACCCCTCGATTTCCGGTTTTGTTTTGTAGTAAACATGGAAACACCAAAGACGCTTTAATATGTTGTGCGTTTTAATAGACCGGTGACGACCGCACAGAGTAGCATTATAACAGAACTTTCAAATGTGTCTAGTATGATAAAACAGCGCTGCTGCAGACATTTTCTGTTTATTTTAAACTGCACTTCAGTATTAAAACCTTTGTAAATATAAAATAAATATGAGTTTCAAAGAAAATAAAGGACACACTTTCCATAAGAAGTGTCAGTAGCGATTCCAAAATATGAATCCATATTCCACATTTTATATATGAATATAGAAATGAGAAAATCTCAATTTAGAAAAACACTTTAAGGTTGAAAAGGGCTCTACAACTGTCACTTTTTATGAATTTAATTTATCCTTGCTGAATAAAAGTGTTAATTTCCCTTTTGAAAATGTACTGACCCTATAGTTTTGAATTGTAGCCTAATGTACACAAGGTAGATCGAATGTGCATTATGTGCAGAGGACAATTAATTATTTTTTTGTCTCTGTGGTATTTCAGAGAGTGCTGTCGGTTCTTTGGGGATGATGGACTGACGGCAAAGGTGTTCCTCACTAAAGTGGCCCCTTTCGGCCTGCTGTGTATTATGACAAACTACCTATACCTTCAGGCTCTGAGAAAGATCAACAGCACCGATGTATCGGCCCTCTTCTGCTGTAACAAGGCCTTCGTCTTTCTCTTGTCCTGGATCGTACTGCGGGATCGCTTCATGGGCGTCAGGGTGAGTGAGTGGATGGATGGATTGTTGGATAGATGAATAAAACTCTAGATATTGATTTGACATACTTTTTTCATAATGATTAATCACCGAAGTGTTGCTAAAAGAGTTTAATGATAGATAGATAGATAGATAGATAGATAGATAGATAGATAGATAGATAGATAGATAGATAGATAGATAGATAGATAGATAGATAGATAGATAGATAGATAGATGGATGGATTGTTGGATAGATGAATAAAACTCTAGATATTGATTTGACATACTTTTTTCATAATGATTAATCACCGAAGTGTTGCTAAAAGAGTTTAATGATAGATAGATAGATAGATAGATAGATAGATAGATAGATAGATAGGTGTTGTTCTCTCTGGATGTCTTCTGCTGTGTAATCCCATGAGTCAGCAGTGCCATCACAGTACAATAATTTGCTTTTACAATCACCTTTTCCTCTCTTCTTCCTTTGTGTTCCTCCTTTCACCTACTTCCTGTTCCCATTTTTTTTTTCTCATCTCAAAGGAACCAAAGTGCTGTGTAACATTTTCTTTGTCTCTGTGTGTTCCTGTTTCTCTTTCTCACAAACACAAACACACACACACACACACACACACACACACACTGTGCAAAACTCCGCATTTGAACAGTCAATAGCAAATACTTAAACTAATAACAAAACAGTAGCTGATTCAGAAGCGCCAGATTGTCATAGCAAAGTCAGAATGACCTCCTCTCCTAGGTTCACGAAACGGTCGTCCATAAAATGCATTGCTGTTCTGTTGTAAGTAATCTTAAAGATTCCTAAATGCATCTACTTTCCACATGTTGAGTACTTCACATCCATAGCTGATCTTCCCTGGGCCTACCTGTGTGGAGTAGCTGGACTCTTACTTGGTAGATAAAATACTGACAGAAAAAAAGGTGTATTATACATATAATATGCACACAATTGTATTTGACATTTACTGTGCATTTTTTTCTTTTACAGCGTTCAATATTCTGGTGAATTTTGGCATTGCTATTACATACCCTACACTGATTTCACTTGGCATTGTGCTGAGTGTCCCAGTCAATGCAAGTGAGTTCATTTTGTTCAAAGTAAAAAAAATTATAATAAATTGTAAAAGCAAACTAGTTCACAGAAGTACAGGTGCATCTCAATAAATTAGAATGTCATGGAAAAGTTCATTTATTTCAGTAATTCAACTCAAATTGTGAAACTCGTGTATTAAATAAATTCAATGCACACAGACTGAAGTAGTTTACGTCTTTGGTTCTTTTAATTGTGATGATTTTGGCTCACATTTAACAAAAACCCACCAATTCACTATCTCAACAAATTAGAATACTTCATAAGACCAATAAAAAAAACATTTTTAGTGAATTGTTGGCCTTCTGGAAAGTATGTTCATTTACTGTACTGTACCAGGTACCTGTACCTGCACCTGTATATGATCAGTAATCAGAAGTGCTACTGACTGATTTAAAGGGATAGTTTGCCAAAAGCATACATTATCATATTTGTCATTATATTACACTCATAGCTCATTATACTGTATGGTTTGTGTTACTGTTAAAAAGTGTTGTGTTACTGTTAAAAATCATTTTAAATAATGAAAAAATAAAAAAAAGATTTTAACTTTTGGAAACCCGTTTTTGAGCCAGTTGAAAGTGGACAGTCATTGTAACTTCATCTAGACCGTTTGTGCTGGATTAAATTGGCTCTAAATGTGTGTTTGGTTCATGTTGCAGTGGTGGACCTGTACACCTGTGATATCCACTTCAACACAGTGCGACTCATCGCTGTGTTCATCATCTGTCTGGGCTTCCTGATGCTGCTGTTACCAGAGGACTGGGATCAGTGTTTGATTGAGCTCAGCACCAAACTCAGAAAGCGGGAACAACCTGTTGAGCCGGCTGAGACTGCAACCAGCTCAGGACTCAAATGGACCCGACGGGCCAGGACCTCCATGTCCACATTTTCCCACTGACACGCATTTACCTTTTCCCGTTCAAAGTCCAGTGACTGGACGATGCTGGAAATAGTATTCATTCCATAATATTTCTCAGTCAACAAGGCTCCATAGGCCATAATTTACCATCGTGCACATTACAACAGAAGCTTTCTGAAAGCAAATCATGTTTTGCAGTTCTCCCAACTGTAAGTGGATTTGAACAATGACTTGGGTCTTTATTTGAAACTCAAGAGCGGGGGTCTCAAACTACCAACATACGGGCCATTGGGTTAATAGTTTATCTTTAAATGCAGCCCATAAATCAGTTTATAGACTTAAATTTTTAAAGACATTCATTGTTTTGTTTTTTCAAATTAAAACTTTGATAAATTAATATTTATTACATTTAATAATATTTCAACTTTATTTTATATCTTATTGTAATTTAATGTATATTATATATTGTAATTTAATTATGTGTATTTCTTATTCACATGGGTTTTACAAGCCTAAAACTTGAATGTAAATGAACAGAAAAGTTTGGGTTACATGCATCTATATAAAACTAGGTGGCTCTTATTACAAACAATAGATGTAAGTTTCTATTTTTGATGCACTATAGCTACTTCGACCTTTTGATTTTATTTTGCCCATCTGATATGCAGTATATATATATAAAAATATTTTGAATATCATATATGTAGACTGATTGCTTTCTATTTTAGTCATTTTATATTGAAAAATGTCTGATTGTTACGTCAATGCCAGGATGTGTTATTTCCAATGTGCTACCTGCCTGCGCAAGGAGAAAATTGCAGTTGCAGTAATGCAATTTCAGGCATCATTACTCCACTAAACATGTGCACCATGCTAGGTATGAAGGAAAGATGTATCCATGCCTCACTAACTGTATGTAGTTAAAATGTAAGGTCATAAAACATTTGTATTTGTTGTAACCGTTCAACTGGCCCAAATGGAAAAACAGGTAGTTTGAGTTTGAGACCTCTGCTCAAGACACCCACATAACAAATATCTCCACAATAAAGAGTCCCTGCTGGTCTTGAGATTGTTTAACTTCCCTTCGGAGCTCAGAGAAACGCGTCTGTCACTTTAAAGCTCACATTATGACTTTCACTGGCACAAATCACTGCCAGTGTCCATTAGAACATGTGCCAAACATTAATATAGACCATAAGAACTGCAACTTGTGCCGTCTTCTCGTACAACAAAGTTCTACCTTGCAACAGGTGCATTTGGGGGATTTCCCCTCCCAAACTGTGACTGAAGATGTTTTGGATAACGGTTTTGGAGGAAAGGTGATCCAGGAATAGCCCCAGGATACATTGGTGCTGAGGTTGGCTGGGATGCCGGAGGAGTGCAGACGTCCAGCTGGCCTCATACAAAGTGCATCTGAGGTCTAGAGGGATTTCATCTCCTAAACTGTGAACAAAGATATATGTGGGTTAATGACAGCATCCAGACTGTTTATACTGAAGCTATACTTGGTCTCCATCACATTTTTCTGAGTCACATGCTAACCACTGTGAGGACACTTCAGGGGCAGTATTGGCAAACCGAAAAGGCAATCTTCTGCGAGTCGTGTTAACGTAAAGGGTGCCATGTGTATCCTGTGAATGTATGACCATTTCTGAAAAGTGCACCCACACTATGTGCTCCACAAAAGGTAGTGACTGGAACTGAAACGCCGCCTTTACATACACAAAACACATCCTGCACTTCATAAGACTCGGTTGCTTTTCTTGAACACTGCATTGCATTTTTTTAATCTTACAGACTGTTCCATTGGAAGGGAATTAGTTCTACAGGAAAACGCATGCAGAAAATGCCAATAAATGCTAGATGACGGCTTCACTGCATTTTCTTTGATTTGCAATAGGATCTCATCAGCACTGTCTCCCATTGTCATTGTTACAGTGACAATAAATATAATATTGTATTCCTCTGGAATTATTGCTAGATATTATTGTAAACCTTTGTAAGGAATGATTTTTACACCGAAATGCATTCTGATCACATTTGAGGAAAATGACGACATAAATAAATGAAAACATCCATTTAACAGATCTGCTTTGTCTGTTTTCACATGTACCATGTCAAACTTTACATTTTCTCCTGTTTAAATGTCAGCAGGCTTAGAGTCCTACAGACTATGGTTTGTTTGAACATGATTCATTTCACAGAGACCATTTGAATGGGTTCAATAGAATTTGTGAAATGTTTTAGGAAATGGAATAAACATTGTCAAAATTTGTTGAGACAAGCCAATCATGTTGATAAAATCATTCAATATTTAGTCATTTTCTATAATACTACCTATAATTAGATGCATCAGAGAAGACAAAGATCAGTTTAAAAACCTTGATGAAAAGAGATTTATAAGAGAAGCTTTATCAAATGATTTAATTTGTTGACTTGAACATAACATAATCACAATTATGTAACATGGGTAAAACCAAGTAATCAAGACAAGAAGCCACAACCAACAGAAATCATGTCAGCAAAGCATAACCTCAAGTTCATCCACACAGAAAGGAGGACTATCTAAAAAAAGAAAGATTAAAAGGAAGTTAAAAGCTCAAATAAAAACAGGTTTTACTGAATAATTCATGTAAGTGCTTTAACAAAAAATTCTGCTTTAAAACCCCTCTGAAACACATAAGCAAAAATAATCATTTCTGAACATATTTGCTTCAAATGTAAATAAAATTATCCATATAACAGTATATAGACTATATATAACATCTAAAATCAATATAAACAGAAGTTTTAAAAACATTTATTTTATATAAAATACATATTATATATACATTACTGGTCAAACGTTTGAAATAATTAAGATTTTGAAATGCTTTTTTAAAATATGTATCTTATACCAAGGCTGCATTTATTTGGTTAAAAATGCATTCAAAACAGCAATATTGTAAAATACTATTACGATTTAAAATAACTTGCTGAGCTGTGATAAACTCAGCAAATATCATGTTCTACTCTTACTGTGATCTGTCCATAAAAGAACGTGGCTTGTTTCTTTTTAGTAGCAGCAGAGTAAGGAAGTCTGTTCCGCTCATGCTGTTTGGAGGGAACCTGCAGGTGGTCCACCATCCTAGAACCTTGTCCACCACATTTATGACAAACAGGACGAGAAGAAGTGGCCACAGGAAGAACATTATTCAGCTGCTCCTTGAAGCTGTTGGGTAACTGAGAGC